GTAGGATCCCATCTTGCAGCTGTTGTCCAATCTTCCTTCTAATATACCTTTTCTCCATTATCAGCTCCCTTAACCTGTCTACTAACTCATGGATGAGAAGACCTTTCAAGTGCTTGATCTGAGAATTGAAACTCTCAGAAACATTGTTAGTCAAATAATCACATTTGCTCTCTTCAGAAAAGGCACTTCTATACCAAATTCTACCATGATGCTAGTCAAGATACTTAAGTGTAGCTGGAGCATACTCAAAAATTTTGTTCATATGCCACTTAAACATATAGTCAGTATAGCTCTTAGCTGTAGGGTAGAGATGGTCAGTGAAAACATCCCCTGAGAAGTGTTTCATGAAGTTGCTGTACATGTGCCTCATGCACTCCCTATTTTCAGCTTGTGGAAAAACAGCCCCCACAGCTTTCTCTAGTCCTTTACAAGCATCTGAACACAAAACTAGTCCTGGTGGGTCTCCTATGACTTTGTGCAAATTTTTTAGGAACCAGGTCCAGTTGTCCTCAGTCTCTGAGTCAAAAATAGCATATGCTATATGGGACAGCCAGTTGTGCCTATCAACACCTATTGCTGCAGCCAACTGTCTAGTGTACTTTCCATGCAAAAAAGATGCATCTACACCAATGAAAGGTCTACAACCAGCTATGAATCCATCAATGCATGGCTTCAAAGCAACAAAAACCCTCATGAACCTATATTTTTTACCAATCTTCTCTAACTCTATGTCTACATGACTTCCAGGTGAACTTTGTTTTAGTTGAGCAGCCCAATTGAAAAGAAGTTGGAAGCTCTCTTCATACGTACCATGAACTTTATCCACGGCGACCTTCAATCCAGACCAAGCTTTTGAGTACTTTAGTTTAATTCTAAAGTCACCCTCCAATTTCTCTTTTGCTTCCTTTGCTCTCTTTGTTGGATTCTTCTTTACCCAATCTCCAAGCCTATCTGCACACCAGCCCTGAGAAGCCATTCTCCCTACTCTAAGCTTGGTGGTAGGACAATCGTGATCTGAAGGAAGCTTTTTGATCTACAGAAAAGTAGATAGACATGGTAATGCTTTTGCAAATATAAACAAGAACATTTATCAAATACAAAACAACAACTACAAAGAATGTACCTGTACAATTTTCTTATAAAAAATGGTGGAAGCATGTATTCTCCAAGGGCATCCCTCAGAAGCACACCTAGCTGTGAATCTTGACTTATCTGATTTGTACCCAGCAGCAAGCTCAAACCCCTTGTTCACAGCATAGTGCCTTATTGCTTTTCTGAATGCAACTATATCAGGAAACAACGCCCCCACCTCTATTTTTGGGTTGTTTGGATCATGCAGTACTTAGACCTCGAGAGGGTCAGCATCATCCACCTTTGCCTCTGCCTCAACATGGAAGAATGGATCAGATGGCTCAGCATAAGTTGGCTCAACCCTAACATTAGTGTTAGAATTGTCAGTTGGCTTTGCAAATTGAGGAGCAACCGGCACAATCCCATACATGGCCTCATCATCAACACCCACATATTCCTCAGCATTATCAAATATATCGGGTTCTCTATCTGGCTCGACATTAACAGTTGCCTCTGGATTATCAGGAGCAGCATTAGTGGGTTCTTTAGACATGTTGGCAGCTGCCTCTGCCTCTAATTGAACATTTGCATCATCATGAGGAACCACACATACAGGCTCCATGGCATCAAATTCAGCTTCCACACAAATTGACCTATCGAATACACCTACCACAACCTCACAGCCCATCTCCTCCTTATACATTTTAAACAAATCTAGCATTTGAATCTCACCAACTATTCTGGCATCCTCATTCAATCTTTTGTCAAAGAACCAAACAGTGGGTGTCTGGTTACTGCTCAGATTCAATTCAGTTGCCAGATTTTTCAACAGTAAGTCCAGTGACATTGACCCATACTCCATATCCCACTTAAACACATGGCCTTTTGTGTAACATTTCCTACTAGCAGAATCTTTGGAAGCAAAACCTTGGACTTTAACCTCTAGCACAAACATCCCATCCCTACCATGCAGTAAATCAAACTCCAAATCAAAGTGTATACATGCACAACTAATCGATTCCACCAAATCAAGGGAACTGTGGTCACTACAATTAAACAAGGGAAAGGAGGAGGAAAGATTACCTAGGAGCAATGTTCTCCATCGTTGCCGCACCAGTGCAGCAAATCGGCGAGCCCGACTCCATCGCCACCACTGGACATGCACGGGTGGTTAGGGTTTGTTGCAGCCGTAGATCCTATCGTCGCGCGTCGGCTTCCAATCGCCCGCTGTCTCCACTCTCCAGTTCTAGGGTTTGTTGAGGGAGAAAGGGGAAGAACACAGGAGGGAGAGAGACGGGAGGGAGAGAGAACACGGGAGGGAGAAGGGAAAAGCACGGGAGATGGATGGATGCGGCTTCAGCCTGTTCGCCTCTCCCTTTTCCTCTTGTCCAGGGGGGGTATTTTGGTCCAATACAAAAATACAAGTGCTGCAATTGGGTCCAAGAAGGCTTCATACGTAGAAAAGGGCAAAGCTCAGGGAGGGCAAGAATATGAAGGGCAAATCTCTAATTCCTCGAATTGTAAGGGCAAATCTCCAACTTCTGAAAATTGTAAGGCAAGAATCCAATTCACCCATTTTATTAAGGCTGAATGCTATCGAGTGGTAAGTGATTCCAGCGTTATCAGATTTGCATCTACCTCATACCTGCTGCCATTGCTTTTTTTAATAAAGACTGAAAGGAGTTGATGGGCTAAAGTTGATGCAATACTACTATTAAAGAAACATGTTTCAACGACGATTACTAATTAACGGAACATGCTTCCATGATTGTGTCAGATTTCTCTTGTTTTATCACCGTTGTATGGCATGTATGCTTGATGGTAGGCTACAACTATAAAATTTGGTCTTTATCATTTTAGTTATCCCAGAATTTTATAGGTGCCCTTTATTTTCCTTTGTCAATATAATACTTTTTTGAAGCCTCGTCTATTCTCCAGGCGACTGCGGAGGCGGTGAGAGAAACAGGTGCTCCCGCCGGTGAGACCACCATTCTTCCTCGTCTCCGATGACCTTACTGGCCTCGGATGTGAGGGGAATGAGTGGATCTCCGCCCGGCAGTGTAGATTAGGTCCCTCTAGGTGTAGGGTCTGGTGTCCGACGGCGGCGTCAAGGAATAAGGTCTTCTCACGCAGCTGGTTGAAGAGTGCAGCGACGGTTACGGGTGATGCGGCTGGTTGAAGAGTGGATCGAGCTCGAGCCTCCCTCGGCGCGAGTCGACGGCGAGCTGCGATCCATGGTTGGTGCTTCTTCAACGACAATATCAACCCGGCCTCGGCGTCGGGTGTCTAGTGCAGCTCATTTCAAAGCTACTATGCGATGGGTTCCTCCAGATCTGGGTGGCGGCGGGTGTTCCGGGCGCCGGAAATGGACGGAGGTGGAGTTCGCCAACGAGATCGACTTGCATGGTGGCCAGGGATGTGATTTGTATTTTCTATAGGGGCTTTTGTGCAAGTTCGTTGGGACAGCTGTCTGTATCCTGTACCCTCGTATCTGTATTTGCTTGTGTCTTTGTACGTTGTCCTTGTCCAGTAATACAGATATGTATTATAAAAAAAATATAATATTTTTTTCTTGGCTAACAATAGTGCAGGGCTTTTAGAAACTAAGTGTAGCAACTAACTGGCACTGGTTGCCTAACTTTCTGAAGCTAATGCAGGGTATAACAGATGTATGCGACGGCCAATAGACCCTCAAACCATGAAGCTTCAAGAGTTGATAATTCTTCATAGATGATAAGAGTCCAACAAAAACCAGTGCGCCATAATAATTAAGTTGAACATAAATCATTGCCGGCTAAAAGGATTATTTGTTTCTCGAGCCTCAGGCTTCTTCTCCATGGCACTCAACGCATTCAGCTAAGTATGACTTCTTGCATTCTCTTTCACATTCACTATAGATCTGGTGTTCTTCGGCACAAAGAGTTTTCTTTCCATCATCTATCAGCTGAAAAACATTAATGTTATACAAATTAGCCTAAGAATTTACTAAAAGTGCTGAGCAAATCTGGTATGTTGGAATATCAATTGAAATTTATAGAACACAATACAAACCTTCAGTCTTCCTCCCTCCCAGTCCTTCTCCTCGACTTCTTCCACCTGGTCTTCGTCCACCTCATCTCCATCCTCCTCGTCGTCTTCGTCCTCCTCGTCTTCGCTGGTACTGGTGTGTACCGAAGGTGCTTTAGACAGCGAGTATTCTTTCAATTTCTGAAAAGGCGTTACGGTTGCTTGATCTTAGTATACTTTGATCGTCGATACAGATTGGGGAATATCATTAGGGATTATAAAAGGCACGACAATAGGGTTCATATGAAAGTTCAAATGACAACAGGAAAAGCAACTGAACGCACCTTTCCAAGGGCGTCCATCCTTTCGTGTATCGGAAGATGACTTAGGCCAGACAACATCTCCGCGAGGAGGTCCAAGTCGTACTTGCTGATAAACTGGAGAACAGAAGTAGAGTAAGGCGGAAACCGTTCCGAAAACCAACTGTGATTGCGGTCGTCGCCGCCGCCTTCACCTGATGGGATGCCTGCCATGCCTGCCTCAAACAAACGTAGAAGGCGAAGAAGGCGGCGGCGGGGTAAGTGTGTGTTGCGTTGCGAGTTTGAGGAGCCGAAGACGACCTGGCCGACGGAAGGACCCTGTACGGCCCACGAAGGTTTCCAAGATGGTTAGGTGCTAATGGGCCGCATTATCGATGGCAACTAGGGTAGATTTGCCTTTCTTCAAACCTGTATGCTGTGCTCAGCCCTACTCTACCGTTCATTGCAGTTTGGCAGTTTGCAGGCGGTTTCGATGGTGATACTATGCGCGCCTTTCACCAAAAAAAAAAAAAAAACTTGAGGAGAATGCGTCAACCTTCCAGCACTCAGAAAGAATGGTGATCATCAAAATAGAAGGGAAAACTGAACACTTGATAATCGAGTTCAGCAAGGCAAGCTCTTGGAGCTAGAGCTCGTAGCCAGCAGCTTAACATTGGTCAGGTCCACGGACGCCGTGGCCCTCCTCAGTATACACTTCATGTTCCTATCCAGGCTCTGCCTAACAATCTTGCCCACGGTGGTATCCCGGCGGCAATCCTTCGCCTCCCGGCCGTCCTCGCCGGCGACGTCGTCGTCGGGGCACGACGTGCCGCCGTCTCCCTCCACGCGAGGCCCCGAGTGCGCGCTGACCCTGCTCTGCTGCGGCCCTTCCTCCTTGAACCACTGCAGGATCTTGGCCGCCCGCCGCTGCGCGAGCGGGCTGCCGAGCAACGAGACCTCCAGGAGCGCCTGCACGACGCCGAGCTGGCGCATCCTGCGCCGCAGCGCGCGGCTGCCGTGCCGCGCGAGCACCATGGCCAGGTACGTCGCGTGCTCCTGGCACCGCGCGCTCTCGTGCCGCGTCATGGTCTCCAGGACCGCCCGCGACGCCGCCTCGCCCTCCTCCTCCTCCATCGCCTTCCTCGCCGCCGCGCTCGCTGCCGCCAGCTCCCCGAGGATGCACAGCGCCGCCTCGGACGTCTTCCGGTCCAGCGAGAGGGACAGGGACAGGAGCGCGCGCACGGCGCCGCTGGACACCACGTCGCGCGCGTGCTCGAGCTTCGTCGACAGGTTTCGGAGGGCCGCCAGGCACGGCAGCTTCGTGTCGGACGGGACGTCGGCCGCGCTGAGCGTGGCCACGAGGAACGGCAGGAGCTCGGTGGTGGAGAGGGGGAAGTCGGTGTTGGCCAGTGACGAGATGGAAAGAACCAGCAGCGCCAGCTCCTGGCTTCTCGACAGATCCTTGTCGTCCGTGAGCCGCGGCAGCTTCTTGAGCAGACCGGCCTTGACGATGTGCACCTTATTTCTGAAAACCAAGAGCAGAAGCCCGTCAGCACTTCAGCAGATAACCAAAATGACAACCCAGAATATTACAGATGGGCAGAAAACATGCTGCAATGGAGTTCAAAGAACAATTTTGCCCTTTTTTCAATCACCTAAAATTGCAGTACTAATAAAGCACTACTTTTTTTTTTTTCAATCAATCACCTAAAAACTAAAATTGCAGAGCAGAATCAACAGATGCACCAAAAACATAATGCAAATTCAAAGAAAGGCTTTGCCATTTTTCCATCAACTACTCAAATTGCAGTACTAATCTACCATACTCTCTTAATACTCTCTTAATGCTGTATACCAAAATTGACAGCCCCTGCCTCCACGTCACCTAACAATTCCTTCTGTCCCATCCGTACATCCAGCGATCAGGTCCGTCCGATCCTCCTCCCTTCTGGCCTCACCTCACCTGGAACCTTCCTCAGCAGCCGCAGCACGCTGCCCGCAAACACCCGCCGCCTCCTTGCCGTAAAAAAAAAAAAGAAAGAAAAAAAACCCGCGGCCTCCTCGCCACGCCGCCGCCTCCTCCGCACGCCCCGCCCTCTCGCCAGCGCGCCACCGCCTCCTCCTCCACTGCCCCACCCTGTCCTCCTGGCTGCGGTGTCCCAGCAGGCGACCCCCGCTCCACGCTGGTCATGCCGGCGCAGCCCCGGCCCGCTCCGCCGTCCCCGGCTGCACGCCGCGCCCTCGCATCTACGCTCGCGTGCATGCTGCTGCTGCCATCGCTGGTGAAGGAAGATGTAGCCCACTGGTGCGTCCCTCCTCCGCTCCATCTCCGGTTCCTCCGATTCAGGTGCCGCACATCCCACCGGACTTTCAGGCGCACAAGGCGTAGACTGTTTGCGGCTTCCAGGAACGGAAACGGTGAGTTCTCATGCTTCGCTGCAGAAAATAAATGGATACCTTCCGTCGTCCTCTCCAATTCAGTTGCTTTTGTTTTCTCATACATATGGTACCTTTGCTTACAGAAATTTCTGTCCACACTGAAAATTTTAAATGACATGTGAACAAATACCAACTGAATTCAGGTATTAATGCCTGCGTACGTGTCCCTTTTTTTTTTGGTTGTGTGGGTTTCTAACCGTGTCGTAAATACTCTACAGATTATTGGTGTGTGCAGCTACTACGGTTCCACAGGTACTCTCCTTTTGCAACTCTGCTCATACTGTGTCAAAACTTACATTTACTGACTTGCAATGCTACTACAACCTCTTACAGATTTGGGTATTTTGTGCATGATTTTCCTCCCCTGAAGTACCATTTCAGCTAACAGTGGTGCAGGTGATTAAAACCACAGATTTTGGACAACCCGAGATGAAAATGGCATCTCATGTGACTACAAATATAGGTACACCTGAACTGCTTACTTACCATGTCACGTCGGCTTACTGAATTCTGTCAGATGCAATTTGCCCTTATGGCTACACTACAAACCCCTTCACCTTCTCTACATCTGCTATTTTCTGTATGTGTCCTCAGGTTCATGCCAACATTCTGCGTTCCGATCCAATAGGAAGACATATAGTAACCACTTCTATGATAGTCGTCAAACTGGCAAAAAAATTACAGCTACCGACTCAGTCTACAATTACTGCAGAGACCTGATAGCCTTATAATTTCATAGGGAAAAAGACTTACATCACTTAGCTACTACATTAGTTACCCACGGCTTATTTTTCGGGCCATACTATATGTCTGTGTTACTGCCTTTGTCATCTACCCTCCTAACATTTCTTATATAATTAGATCCTCCAATCCAATCTTCTAACAAGTTGTATACTCAATGGTGACCTTCAAGCCGTGAACTTACCTATAGTATCTTTTCCTGATGATGGATAGAAGTCTAACCCTTCCATAAATATGTTCATACACACACTGACCCAAAAGTAAAACAGATGTTCCCGGAGTACTATCACTATTACACCTACTGTTCTTAGTATAAGGAGCAATTACCATTATTTTTTCCTCTTTCTTTGTGCTTCTAACTGCTACTGAGTATTCATAAATATTCCCAAAAAAATCTCTTAGCCTATACTTTAACTGTTGCTCTTGCTGCACCTGATAGGAGCGTATGTTAACATATTGCCTCTCTACATTTAATTGAACATTATACAAACCTACCAAGAAGAAAAATACGTTCTGTTTATGTATGACCATACTGCATATAGCAACATAAAATGAGAAGTTCACGGTACTGTGCCTTGAAATCTACATCATTCTGTTTTGCAGATCATTGTTCCTTTACCTCCCATGACCATGCATATGCCTCCACTTTCTTATGGCCATTTTTCAGGTCCGTCATTCCGGTCCACACATGTAATTAATGCTATCTTGGTACTGGTCCTATAACTCTACGAGCATATCAAATGGCAGTGTCACTTCGCTGCTTGAAAACCATTCCAACTGGTATGGTGATGTATACAAACAGCATCACATTATTAACTTCAATTTTATTTCCATATCACTGCAGCTCAGCGGAGGCCTAAGGATTCAGCTTCTGCTTTGTCTTCCTTTTGTTTATGTAGACTTGAATTGTTCAACCCTGTGGGCTGTGGCACTAATTCAAACCTTGCCGTTACACTCGCTGCTGCTTCGTCTTCCTCTTATTCATCAAGACTTACATTGATGTACCAAGCTGCATGGAACCGGCAAACTCTAGCTATGTATTGATCTGTCAAGTATATTGTTTCGGCCCCTGTACAAATACTACTCTCCCTATTATAAATTATAGAGACCAACTAAAATTCTATCTTGATCATACAGATGATATCAGTACGCATAAACTTATCAGCCGCTCCTACAAAGGCTCTGCTCAATAGATGATTTTAGTGTATTCATCTTAGTAACTATAATTTTCAATCGTGAGTGCATCACTTCCCCGCGGCAACGCGCGGATACCCACTAGACACTAGTATATAATATATAATTCAGGAGAAACAATTCTGAACTAGTGAATTGTTGAATTTTAATCAAGCAGCCAAAGGAAAGGATAAACGAACTCCAGTCGATTAGAAAACGCTTCTTGGAGCATTCAGAAGTCACATGGCTTCATGCATCACGGTCTATTGGATTACACGTCTGCTCTTCTATGATTCTATCATCTGCGTGCTTCACCGGGTGCCATTGTGGTTTTCAGTTTCATTCCACTGTCACCATTGGCAGTCGATGCACACAGGCAAATTAGCAACGAGTGCAAGTCCACATCAAACCTAGTAAAAACTGGGTACGTACGTCCAAGTTCTCAACGTGGGGGTGTCACACACATGGTGACATGGTGTCTAACTTTTCTTGACGCACCATGTATGTGCTTGTCACTATCGGGGGCCCATGGCCATATCCACATGACATTCCAAAAATGCATTACGCTAAGGGGGAAAATAAAGCACAAATGTCTCTCTAAGAGCTAGCTGGTTTCGTCAAAGTGATGGAACAAACGAAAAGAAACACATGGTTAGGACTTGGGTCCATTTTGTTTGGTAAACTTTGTCTGCAGAAAACAAGGGAGGCTCTGAAACCTGAAAGAGCTGAGCCTGAGATAGTATTGTACGTTTGGGCTGCCTAATACCAACCAACAAAGCTGAAACTGGAGCCGGATAAAGCGCTGACATTAATGGTCCTGTTCGCTTTGCTGAAAAGTCATGGCTGAAAGTACTGTTCGCGGATTTGTTGTGAGAGAAAAACACTGTTCGTTTGCTGAAATAGAACGGCTCATCAGAAAAAGCAAACAGTATGTGTTCTGGTCAATGATTCTGGCAGATCAAATAACAATGGCGTGAGGGCATTTTGTTTGGTAAACTTTGTCTGCAGAAAACAAGGGAGGCTCTGAAACCTGAAAGAGCTGAGCCTGAGATAGTATTGTACGTTTGGGCTGCCTAATACCAACCAACAAAGCTGAAACTGGAGTCAATGATTTTCTTTGAAAAAATCAAATAACAATGGCGTGAGAGAAAAAACACTGTTCTCACGGCTCATCAGAAAAAGCAAACAGTATGTGTTCTGGTCAATGATTCTGGCAGATCAAATAACAATGGCGTGAGGGGACTCTCACGGACTCAAAAGTTGGCCCCTGCTCGCCTAATGGTTTGTGGAAAGCAGCAGCCGGCAAGAATTGATGGGCGTGCATATTGTTTAAGAAGGACTTTGACAAATGCTGCTCAAAAGGTCAGAGCAGTTTGAGAGGATTTGGCATGGCAGAGACAACCGGCCAAGGGGGGACACCTTTGTCAAGGCTAACCGATTCTGATTTAGTGTTTTTTCAATCCTTTGTTATATGGTTTTGTGAAAATTGTGAATGTAAAGCATCGTGACTGACTACAGCGCAGTTACATGTATATATGTGTGCAAGTGCAGCAACCCAGAGTTTTTTTTTAATTCAAGCGAATATATAAGCAGCGTCCTAAATTCGACTTCTTCGAGAAGGATCGTACGTATGTTCTTTCTGACGTCAAGAGTTCTTTCTTTTCCTGGAGAAATAGCAGTTGATGGGGGACTTGAGACACAATTTGCTGACTCCAAAGTCTGAACAATAGGTGGATTTCAAATTCAAAGCAAACCAAACATGTTTGAGTGAGGAAAAGAAAGGAAGGACACCACGGAACAGAATCGTTCAAGCACCATCTTCGGAAAGAAACTATCCAAAAACGTGGCCTCTTTTTGTCTGAATTTTGGGACAAGACCATTGCTTCCCCAATTCAAATCTCATGCAGCAGAGCCATACTACGCTACCCACTCTGTTTCCCCTGCCCAAAAGAGTTTCTAGTAACAACATGTCTCTCAAAAGAAGTTGCACGCGAGAAGAATCTCGAGGAAAGAACACCAAGGCAGCCACGCAGGCAAGGTAGGCAACAAGCACGGAGAAGTAGAACTCAGTGACCGACCAACCTGTGCGTTCCTCTGGCGAGCTCGAGCAGCGCCCCGGCCGCGGCCACGCGCGCTCCCGCGGCGCTCCGCCCGTCGGCCAGCATGTCCAGGAGCGCCGGCACGACGCCGAGCTCGGGCAGGAGGCGCTTCGTCCGCTCGTCCGTGCGCGCCAGCCTCGCGACCTCCCCCGCGGCGTCCCGCTTCTCCTCCTCCGCCGCCGCGCCGAAGCTGAGCCGCCTCACCGCGGCCCTCATCGACGCGGCGTCGTCGACCGCTGCTGCCCCCATCCCCGCCACCACCAGTAAGGCCGCCGGCTCGGTGGCGCCGGTGCATGCGCACGCACGCACGTAGCTGCCGAGGTGGGCGGTGGTGGTGGACTGGTGGTGTACGTTTTTGGTTTTTCGCGCTGGCAAACGTAGCGGTAGCGCCCGTGGCGGGCGGTTGGGTTGGGTTTGGGCGTCTGGCTCGGCACGGGCGGCGTTTTGTGGGGGAAAGTGGCTTTAGATTTGGTGATCTCGGCCCCCCGGCGGCTGACGTGTGGAGCACTTGTAGGGAGGGGGGGTTGGGCGCTGGGGTTCGGTTCGTTCGTTCGGTCCTTGACGTGGTGGTACCGGTACCGCACCGTGACACCACCAGCGGCACCGCCCGGGAAAGCTGCAAAAGTGGCGACGGCCGGCCGTCTTTGGGTTGTGTTGGGGGTGAGCCGCCTCCACCGGCCGGCCTCGTGCCCTTTTCTTGTGACGACTTGTGAGCATGGCCGGCGGCCGGCGTTATCAGGTACGTACCCAGGGTACATGCATGCAGTACCGATGTGTAGTACCGTGCTTCTTCGCTGGGTACGTTGGGGAATTATGGCGAGCGGTGCTTTGGACGTAGCTTGCTCGTGTTTTTTTTTCTGGCCTGAAATTATTCTACCTAACTCGATCTTCGAAGGAAGAATTCCATCGTCATTGCGATGACTGAACTGTCACATGACAAAAACATGTCTGCCTGCGTGGCCAAATTTACTCATGGTCGGCTTATAGGTATGGAAACTACGTACAACGTACGTACGGGTCCATAAGCACTGCAACAGAAAATTTATTGATGCTCGATCAGCAAATTCAGTTCGAATGCAACCGTTTGATCAGGGCGTTTACGATGGTGCCATGGTAGTCATCTCAAGCCAAAGATGGTGAACGGAAATTTGAAAAAAAAAACTCTGGTGTCAAATGGCATGCTACAGCACTAACATATTCCACCGCTGATTTGCCAAGGGACCCAGATCTCGGCTGACTCTGATAAATATAGGAAAAAGTCCATATCACTCCCTCAAACTTTGGCCTATGTCCAAATAACCCCCTGAATTAACATTTGATTCAATTTACTCCCTCCAACTATTTAAGTTGGTCCAACCAACACCTTAAAGAGATTTTTTTTTTGTTTCTCTATGTACAAATTATATTTTAGTTTCAAATTTTGTGAGGTGATAGAGGACATTGTATTTTTGTGTTAGAAAAATGCACTATGCATTTTTCATCATTATGTTTTACACGATATTGTATCTCTAGTGTGAATTTATTATTAAATTTTCTAAGCTATCAAAATAGTAGCAAAAAGTTAAGATATATTTTTCTAACATGATTTATGATGTTCTCTATCATATCACAAAAGTTGATATTAAGACTCAACTAGTACGTGGAAAAACAAATATAATAAATCATGTTGAGGGGTAAACTAGATCAACTCAAATAGTTGGAGGGAGTAAATTGAACCAAATGTAAGTTTAGGGGGTAATATGGACATATGCCAAACTTGAGGGGAGTAATTTAGACTTTTTCCATAAATATATGTTTGGCTGAGCTTTGGCCGGCTAGCTCATACTCACATGCTCATTTCAAATGAGTCATTTGATTTGATTAAAAAGAAAGGAGTAAGTAAGTGCTGGTGGCCTGCATATGGTGGGTCGGCTGGCTCGGACACAAATGGTGGAGCATTATATAAGAGAAGCGTTAGAGATCCATTAGTGTAGTGGTGTGCTTGGCAATGACTAAGCCCATTATCCCCTTGTTACGTAAGGGGCAAGGTCTATTTTTTTATTATAATATAATAACTAGAAAGTTGGTTTGCTCAAATAGTACCAGTAGCTAGTCTTTTATTATAATGACATCTACAAATTTTAGTTATTTTTTTAAATAGTTGTTACTTTGTTTGTTGTAAATGTTTTTTCTCTTAGCGCTTGCACTGCATCATCGACACAAAAATTCCATAAGCTATTCTCAACCAATCCATTAGCCCTCTCGTAAGTACTATTTTGTGATTATGCATTTTGTGCCAAGAACAAATCAAGGCATCCTTCGGTTCCTCTTGGTGAGCTCAATTTCTTGATAAAATCTTTGTCCAAATCTCTCACATATTGTACAGTTTTTTATCCCTCATGTAAATGCCTCCTGTAAATTTAAACTTGAGATAATCTCGTACCTTCTCCTAGGAATCCGTACTTATCTTTTTCTACCCTAAAACATTACCAGATTCATCACAAAAATGCTATTCATGTCTACTATAGCCTTTGGTGTCGGTCCTGTCATTGTGCTAGCATCGTTTTTTTTTTAGCAAGCTAGCATCAGTTGATGAGCGAGGCGCACTGTGTGACGGTGTGACCGTGTGAGGCCGCGAGGGTGGTGGCGGTGTGCTGGTGTTGGGCCGCTGAGGCCGTCCCCAACGCACCACGCTGGCCATTAGCCCCAGCTCCCATGTCGGTTTGATTGTGCCTGGTCTGACAAAATATTGAAACTTCTATGCTTATGACGTGTTCCAGAGAAAGATCTGACACAAGCTGAAGTTAGCAGTAGTATTGAGTGCTGGCTGTAACTTTTTGGTGAAGCCAACACTATCGACAGCCCGCGTTGGGGAAGCCCCGAGGGGAAATGGCCCATGCGTGCGTGGCACGCCGTCGCAGGCCTCGCACGTCGCACGTGGTCCCGCAGATGATACGTCAGTGGGCTGGGCTAGGCCGATGGATGGGTAGTTGGGCCATAGTTGTGCGGACAGCGAACCTTCGGCTTTTCCCATCGGGTGATCGGGTGTCGTTCTCGGCGGGGATTCAGCTGCCCCCGCGGACATACTCCTATCCCGTGATGCCACACGAGATCGCGACTAGTGAAATAAATCCACCAAGTATTCGTTGTTGCGGCTCAACCCTGCTCCACTCAATCCATCAATCTGCTGCTAAGCCACTGGTGCATCCATCCATCCATCCAACGCTGACACCACCACCAATTGACCTCGCCGTACGTACGTGACGTGCGCTGAAAACGCACACTGCTTGCTTGCGTGGAGTAACCCAACCCCAGCAAACAATGGTAGCTTATCACGCGGAAAAGGCGGCCCAAGACCGGCTGTCCGCGCGTGTATGATGTATCCGGCACGGACGGCAAGGCAGCTCAAGAGCTCTTGCAGTTTGCTCGCTGCCGCGCACCGTGCACGGCGCCCGCGGTCTCGACATCGACACGAGCAGCGCGGGGGGAGACGCTAAAAAGGACGCCGCCTGCGCCACGCCGCGCAACCCGCCAAAACCTCGTAGGCCCACCGCGCACGTGAGCGGCCAACGGCCTGGGCAGCTAGCTAGCCCCGGCGTCGCATCGCAGCCGACGACGGCGCATCACACGGCTGGCTTAGCCGTCTAAATCCACAGGGATTAGCCCTGACACGTCCGCCCTCATCAGTCACACACGGACAGTCCCCACCCCCCACCAACCGCTCGCCCGCCACCCTCGCCGTCCTTGCTCGCTCGCGCAGCTGTCCTGCACCCGGCTACATGGCGGCCTCCACCCTCGCGTTCGGCCACCCCAAAACCCTAGCCGCCGCCGCCGCCGGTGCCAAGAGCCTCCCCAACTCCTCGTCCGTCTCCTTCCCGGCCACCCAGCAGCCCGCGTGCCTCCTCTCCTCGTCCGCGTCCGCGCCAGGGGCCCGCCGCCGGGACGTCGCCGCCATGGTCTCCGCGCCGCCGGCTGTCGGCACCGCCATGCCGTCGCTCGACTTCGACACCTCCGTCTTCAAGAAGGAGAAGGTCTCCCTCGCCGGCCACGAGGAGGTGCGCTGCGCCCCCCACTCGCCCGTCGCCGTCCCCCTTTCGCTACTCCGTGGATGGATGAATCTCTCCGTCGTTTCGGTACGATTTGATTTGTTTGGTTCGTGACCGGTTCTCGTGGCGCAGTACATCGTGCGCGGCGGGAGGAACCTGTTCCCGCTGCTCCCGGAGGCGTTCAAGGGGGTCAAGCAGATCGGAGTCATTGGATGGGGCTCGCAGGTTCGACACACATGCCAGCTTTTTCCTACACCTATTATGCGGTTCCTCTTCCTCTTCCGCAGTCATGTAGACGGTCGGTTGTGGCATATATGTTGCTATGATTGTGTACTGAGCGACTGTGCTTAAATCGGCACATAACTGTTGTCATATCTAGTAGATGGCATCGGTTTCACTTGGATTTCTACTTCTGTTTGGGTTCAGTGCTCATAACATGTCGCCGTTCCTTTTGCAGGGTCCTGCCCAAGCTCAGAACCTGAGAGATTCACTGGCTGAAGCCAAGTCAGATATTGTTGTGAAGGTTTGTTCTTCTCTTGTCGGACTAATGTATGTTAGCACTGATACATGAGAAAACCACATCGACTGAAAGATCTGTACTTTTTTTACGAAAAAAACAAGACCCATACTTTGCTTCAGTGAAAAATCTTATTTTATTTTTCCTCTGGCCTAGTTTCTTTGAATCTTTATTAACTTCGATTGGAGAGAGTTAATAATTCTTTATTCTGTGCAACTTGGACATGGCAATCATGAGCCAGATATTCTGCCTCCTGTATATACTTCGGCACTGTTCTGTCAGTCCAACATGCTGCTGCCTTTTGCTTTCAGATTGGTCTCCGGAAAGGATCCAAATCTTTCGAGGAAGCACGTGCTGCTGGATTCACTGAAGAGAGTGGAACCTTGGGCGATATTTGGGAAACTGTCTCAGGCAGCGATCTTGTGTTGCTGCTGATATCTGATGCTGCACAGGTTTGCTCCATGTTCACTAGCTGCACGGTTTCATGTGCATTCTTTTGTATATGTATACTTCTGCCTGATGCTTGACTTGTGCCAACAAGAGGTTATTTTGTTCCCTGCCGGTTAGTTCAACCTATATGTCGATCTGTAGCACACCCATTCATCATTTCATTACGCTGATATGGTACTTAATTGTTGCATCTTTGGTTTTATTCATCCTGAAGGTTGGATTTCACTTTCTGCAGGCTGACAACTATGAGAAGATCTTCTCTCACATGAAACCAAACAGTATCCTTGGTTTATCTCATGGATTTCTTCTGGGACATTTGCAATCACTTGGACTTGATTTCCCAAAGAACATCAGTGTGATTGCTGTATGCCCCAAAGGAATGGGTCCATCTGTTCGCAGGCTTTATGTTCAGGGCAAGGAAGTCAATGGTGCTGGCATCAACTCTAGCTTTGCTGTGCACCAGGTATGTTTGAAGCTTTGCTGTGCTCATCAATGTTTTATTTTTTATTTCTATTTGTTTGATCTATTGAAAACATATTTCAGATGCATTTGGTGACAGATGTGCTTTATACTTACTTTTACTAATGTTGTTTCATTGTGTAGGATGTTGATGGAAGGGCAACTGATGTTGCTCTAGCATGGTCAGTTGCGCTTGGCTCCCCCTTCACGTTTGCTACTACTTTAGAACAGGAGTACAAGAGCGATATCTTTGGAGAGCGAGGTGAGCATACTGATCTGTTCATGGTGCCTCTAATAATTGTACCGTGAGTATGTAACTAACCATTTAACATACAGGCATTTTGCTGGGTGCTGTCCATGGTATCGTGGAGGCTCTGTTTAGGAGATACACAGAACAAGGAATGGATGAGGAGTCAGCCTACAAAAACACTGTCGAGGGCATCACTGGGATCATCTCGAAAACCATCTCAAAGAAGGTAAGCGATTATTCATACTTATGGAAACCATTGTCAGTCTTTGTTTATTAGATTGTGATCTGAATTTCCTGTTTGGACCCCAGGGGATGCTTGAAGTGTACAACTCTTTGAGTGAGGAAGGCAAAAAGGAGTTCAACAAGGCTTACAGCGCATCGTTTTATCCGTGCATGGATATACTCTATGAATGCTATGAAGATGTGGCCTCTGGAAGTGAAATCCGGAGCGTGGTGTTGGCTGGGCGGAGGTTTTATGTGAGTTCTGTTACATTGAACTACCATTTCTGATTTTGGTTGTGCTCATGGTTAAGTTTACAGTTTTGACACAGATTATTAAGCTAAAATAATTATGTTTTATAGGATAAAGAGGGCCTCCCAGCTTTTCCGATGGGCAACATCGACCAAACTCGCATGTGGAAGGTTGGTGAAAAGGTGCGCTCAACCCGTCCAGAAGGTGATCTTGGCCCGCTCCATGCCTTCACTGCTGGAGTTTACATTGCCCTGATGATGGCTCAGGTAAGGTTTTTCCAACTTCTCAAGCGACAACCGAGAGCCTCTTGTTATCGGTGGATATTACCTTACCCGTTCGGTGTTTGTTCAATGGCTCTAGATTGAGATCCTGAGGAAGAAGGGGCACTCCTACTCTGAGATCATCAACGAGAGCGTGATCGAGTCGGTGGACTCGCTGAACCCGTTCATGCACGCCCGTGGGGTCGCCTTCATGGTGGACAACTGCTCCACGACGGCCCGCCTGGGATCCAGGAAGTGGGCGCCGCGCTTTGACTACATCCTGACGCAGCAGGCCTTTGTGACGGTGGACAAGGATGCCCCGATCAACCAGGACCTCATCAGCAACTTCTTGTCAGACCCTGTCCACGGCGCCATCGAGGTCTGTGCCGAGCTGAGGCCCACTGTCGACATCTCCGTGCCCGCCAACGCCGACTTTGTGCGCCCGGAGCTCCGGCAGTCTTCCTAGATTGAGGCGGTGAGCAGAGAGAGGGAGGGAGAGGAAGAGAGGATTTCGTGTCCAGAGTTAGAACAGAGTGCTGTATGTTGTGCGACTGCTTGTAAGTCTAAACTGAACCTATGTGAGCTTCTATCAGAGGACCTGAGAAAGCTTGGGCATCTGTTTTCGGAATAAAATGGACCCTTCCATGGAATAGCTCGGGAGGGTATGTGATCTTGCTCATCATGACCTTTTCTTTTTTTTTTTTTCTTTTTGGTAAAGGCCGGGCATTTGTACTCGTGCCTTGAATCACTCGAAATGTTGTCTAGGAATGGACTAAGAGAGTATTATTAGGGCGCCCAACATGGCCCACTTGTCACTGAGAACATAGGCCCATCTCTATAGGATTTGCCAACGGGCTCTCCATCATCGAAACTGCGGGGTGCGGCCCAACACCTCGTAGCAGGTGCGATTCCAATTTCCAACACCGCGTACGCTCGCCCAGCCAGCGTAACGCGACCGGGTCAGACGGCGCGCCAGCCACTGATTTGGATCGATATTGTTACTCCGAGTCTCCAACAACACATTACACTGTTTGCTTGCCTGGAGGCTGGAGTTGGGCTGAACCAATGTGCAAGTCTTGCCCGAAATTTGTAGGGATTTGGGCAAAATTCGGAGACCACGTGGAACAAACCGTGGCAACTGCCTACGTTCAAAAAAAAAAAAAAAATTATAGACCTGGTCAAAGTTTAACTATTTAAATTTCGCTAATTTTATAGAAAATAACATCAACATTTATGACTCTAAATAGATGTATCATAAAAAAATTAGTATAATAAATATTAATATTCTATATATAATTTTTAACATATATTTTTAGTATTATTTTATTACTTCTACAATTGTAGAACCTAAAGATAAATAGTAGCTCTTTTTACGCATGCCGCACTAGAAGTTGTGTGCCCGGTTTGGAGTAGAAAAGCTGTTGCAAGCTTTTGCCTAAACAACAGCTGCTGCTCTCAACTCTGAAAGTCTGAAGACGAAGGCGCATCTTACTGGTGCGTTAGAAAGGCTTCGGTGGTTACGCAGTTTGTTGTGGTCGGTTGTTGAAGCAGGCAAGTAGCGTTCGGTGGCCTCTAGGTTGGCGGAAACGTGCTTTGCATTTTGGTTCCTATATAAACCATGGTCCAGCATTTTTCAAATAAAAATAAAATTTGCTTGCTGAACTGTAATCATTTCTCTCTCTATTTTTGCGACAAGGAATGCTGAACTCGAAGACATCTTGTGACCGTCCGTCTCATTCAAACTTTTTTATAAATATTATCTGTTTTGTTATGACTTATTATATCATTAGAGATACTTTAATAACGATTTATTTATTTTATAATTTACATAAAATTTTTGAAAAAGACGAACGGTCAAACAAGATATGTGAAAGTAAAAAACGTTTGGGACGGAGGGAGTAAGCATCACATCTCATCCGATTTGACACCTTATTAGTGCTAACCAAATTATGTTAGTCTAAATTACCAAATAAAAAGATTTATCACATCCAATAGATCACACCAAGCATCAATTAGATATAAAAAAGATTTTTATGTCTAAAAATTTCCTTATTTACCCTATTTTTCTAAAATTACAAATTAAATAACTAAATATATATTTCACCTATTACCTATACCTCTTAGGAAGTACCACAGCAATGCCCTTCAAATAAACCATGATTAAAGTGAAACATGGAACGCGTTTAGTTTCACCAGCAAAGATCTCCACACAGAGTGAGAGTAATCGACATCTTGGCCTTGTTTGCACTAGCTCTATCTAGTCCTTTCTTGAGCGATTCTTGGAAAGAGAAGGATCATATCATAGTGCACGAGATGCAGGTGCTGCATGCGCAAGAACAAACTGTGAAAGGTAGCTAAAGTTTCAACAAATTCAGTATTTTAAACACATAAGGCTTCCTTTTGCAATTCAAAGATTTTAGAAAGGCAGAATATAAAAAATTGTAGGAATAGAATGCCCTAACACCTTAAATCCTATGGATTGAGAAAATACATGAAATTTGATGAGAGAGAGAGAGACATAAATGAAACTTTCCACTTGGTAAAATACCTCCAAATCATATGAAACAAGACATTCCATAGGATTTGTAGCAACCCAGTCATTTGTTCTGAAGGGATTCATAGGAAATTCCTCTATGTTTCTCCAAAGGGAGCCTAAAGGCGCAATGCAAAGGGAAAACTATAAATATGGATGGAATGATATATAGAGTAATAAGTTTATTATACAACCAAATAGAGATTAAAGAATATCTATATGGGTATATATACCACGTAGAAAATCAAAAGAGAGAAGATAACCGACTTTGGTTAGTTGTCAGCAATAAATTTATCAACAAACTTGTATACTTACATCTCCTTGAATTCAACAAATAAATTTATCAAACTTGTGCAAAAGAGCAGCTAAGAAAATAAAATTCAAATTCAAGCACCAACAAAAAAATCTTTGTTGTTCCAAACAAAACAAAAGTGAATCAAGAATCACTAGAGCGTTAAATAGCATTCAAACTGTATCACGTTTTCTTGCACTAATGTAATGGTTCGGTTATACATTGCACGTTTTTTTAAAATTTATATGCATAACCATATGGAGCCAGAGCTACATTGACCTTTACTCTAGAACTAGTACCATCTTAAAATTCCCTTATTTTAAACATAGAGCCGCTGCCGGAACTACATATATGATATATCCAAATGCTTCAAAAACCATGCAATGGCATGCATTGTAATTGTCTAGTACGTGCACGCCGGCCCCTCGGAGTTGACGAACTAACGGCAAATTCAAAAATCTGCGACGCCGAATCGATCGACGCGCTGGTCCGAGTCCGAGGGCCGAGGGCGTGTCCCAATGCAACACCGCGCTCTATTCCGAAACTAACGGCGAGTCCAAGCCAAAGATGGCTCCACGCTCTTGCGACCTGCCCACCCGTCTTCCCCCATATATGCGTGCCCAGCCACCCCCAATGCAAGCACAAACCAACTACCAGCCAAGAACAGACGAAGTCGATCGATCTCAGATTCTCAGCTAGTAGCTAGCTAGTAAGACGCGCACACCACCCACCAAGCAGCTAGTAGCTAGCTAGCCATGGCGGCGGAGAAGGAGGGCGCGGTGGTGACCAAGGGGCACGACGAGGGGATGAAGGCGGCGGCGGCGCTGCTGGAGGAGTTCGGCCTCCCGCTGGGGCTGCTGCCGCTGGAGGAAGTGACGGAGGTGGGGTTCGTGCGGGACACCGGCTACTTCTGGCTGGCGCAGCTTAAGAAGGTGGAGCACCGGTTCCAGAAGATCGGCAAGCAGGTGAGCTACGACGTCGAGATCGCCGGCTACGTCCAGCCCAGGGGCATCAAGAAGCTCAAGGGGGTCAAGGCCAAGGAGCTCATGCTCTGGCCCCCCATCAACGAGATGGCCGTCGACGACCCGCCCACCGGCAAGATCCACTTCAAGAGCCTCGCCGGCGTCACCAAGACCTTCCCCGTTGACGCCTTCGCCGCCGGCCAGTAGGCAGGCAGTAGCCATGCATGCATATCGATCTTATATTACGTACTATAATACACCATTATATAGTTTCAGAAAAAAAACACACCATTATGCATAGCGCATATAGTAATAATAATCTTGATGTGTTACCAATATATATGTTACGATGGGCTGCTTATGTATACCTGCTGATCCTGATGATGGATAAACTCTAGTTTTTCCTAGAAATATGATGAAATAAAGCTAAATAAAAGCAAAATGCTATACTTTTTCATACACTACTAGTACCATGTTGATCTAGTCATACTTCCTCCATCGATGAACAAATCATTTTCTAGAATTATCTTAAGTTATTTTTTTTACGTTAGACCAAATTTATAGAAAATGGCATAAATGCATATGCCACCAGATGATCATATTATAAAAATGTTTTATGGTGTATTTAGTGATATTAATTAATTGTTTAATTTACATCAATCATGGCGTTCTTTTCTATGAATTTGATAAAAAAATTAATAAAATATTAACTTAAGACAAATTTTCCGTGGACCTAGGGAGGGAGTACATAGTATGAATATGAACGACAACCCTTGAATGCATTTATATATCGTTCAGGTTCAGAAAGCCCAAAATTAGTTAGCCAAACAGTAACAAATCAGACAGAATTAAAGAAGAGGCGAAGAGCCGAAAGCAATATTTATACGGCGTGTAAATTTTGAACGAAGGACAGGCACGCGCCAGCCCTTAATCTCTATCTACAACTAAAATATACGGATCGCCAACGTCTACCCGACAGGACCAAAATCTTCTTGCGATCCATGACTACCCAACGCAGAAAAGGAAATTCCCCCAACCCCTGCATGGCTGCTCTGCTCGGCTCTATCCCGCGCTCCTCCCTCACAGGTTCCTTCGGGTCTTTCTATGCATGGATGCATGCACGTGCACCCCGCTCCAACATGCAGCCGCAGTATTCTTATCTTTTGGCAAATCCAGAAAGCACAGATCACGGAAAAAATCAACAATAAGAGAAATGTTAACGTCCACCGACAGGACGTTGTTGTGTCCGATTGCGTGCACCCCAGCGCTCCAAGATCTAAGGTATTTTTTCCTTTTAAGGAAAATCGGACAAATCACATGAAAAAACAACAATCAAATCCTGATGCCATCTATGTGCCATCTATGATTATCTTTCCGTAGCACTTGATTCCTAAAGAAGTGCAAGCTTATCTTTCGCGTATCGTAGGTATGAAGTGATGCGACAATTAAAGTTGATGTTTTAGTTTTGCATTCAAATTTAGAGTTATATTTTAACTATCTATCTTTCGTGAAGACTTATGTAATATTGATTGAAACATTATGATTGCGGTATCTATTTTAGATAACAGTATGACACACGCTTATACATATATTATCGTGGTATTATGTGTTCTCGTTGCAACGCACGTGCATTTACCTATTCTAAAAAAATATATACTAAGGCCCTGTGTAGATCTCCTAGAAAATGCTAATGAGAGAAAAATGAGAATTGGATCCAAACAATCGAATTTTAGAGTGAGATTGTAGAATCCTACCCCTACCATTTTCACTGTGCAAAGATAGTAATCGCTATAAGAATAAGATCTAAACTTCTCTTTTTTCCCCCAAAATCCAAATTCTATATTCAGTATATCTACATTCCAAAATCTTACTATGAGAATGAGACCAAGCAGGCACCTAAGTCAAACGATTTAAGAATCTATATGTTATTGTCTTGGTAATGAAACACACTTTTTAGTATACTTATTATTTCAAGCCATATATTTGGATTAAAATTTTATAAAATTAGTCAAATTTAAAACAGTTTGATTTGACTTTTATCGGACCTAAAATTACATTATTTTATGGAATACATGTAGTACACACACTTATAATATAATTCCTTCGTCTCTAAATAGATTTAAATTCTATAGTTGTCTTAAGTCAAACTTTTTTTTGTGTTAGATCAAATTTATAAAAAAGAGTATAAATATTTATGACATCAATGAGCATTGTATAAAAATATATTTTATATTATATCTAATTATACTAATTTAGTGTTATAAATCTTCACTCTCTTTCCTATAAATTTAGTAAGAGTTTAAAAAGATTAATTTTTAAAATTAATTTATTTGGAGAAGGAGTACGTAAATGAAAGGCTATTTCGGGGCCATTTCGTTGCTCGCTTTCATGCAAATCGTGTGTACCATGAAGTCCTTCATGGAAGGATTCTTTTTCCAAGTGAAGTTTTTGGACTTACTCTAGTGGATGATTAGTGCAAGTAACAAAGTAGTACGAAAAAAGGCAGGGTCAAAGTCTCAAAGAGATGCTGAAGTGGTTAGATATATGCAGTCGATCTCATGTTCCTTTCGTCTCGCAAGCACGTTACTGACCTGCCCAATCATCACCCTTCTCGCCTATAAACCTGCACTGCAAGTTTCCTCTTAGCCTTTCCGGTGAGTGTGAAAACCTTTACATATATTCGTTGCAGCCCACCGGTCTCTGTTTAGTACTGCAAAAATAATGCTTTTTAAGGGCATGTTTGGCCGGGCTCCCGCCGGCTCTGGCTCCCACAATGTAGCGCAACTGTAACGCGCAGGAGCTGGAGCCGGAGGAGCAAAAAAAATGAACTTCTCCGGCTCCGACGCTGTCAGTGAGAGAGGAAAGGAGGAGAGAGAAAAATTGCTCCGGTGAACAGTGTCGCTACAGGAGATGAACAGAGAAGGAGTCAGAGGAGCCGGAGCCGCTCGGAGCCCGGCCAAACGGGCTCTAAGTCGTCGTAGGTCGCGAGAACACGTGTTGAATTGCTGGCCAAAAAGCGACGCCACAGACTCGACCAAACACGTTAAATCTCCTACAACTAAAAATAATAAAGCGTGGACACTTTTTGGTGCGACATTCGTCCATTGTCCTGCCTGCCGCCCGTGCGATCTTTCTCCACGCCCCCTACGCCCGTCTCCCTTCCAAGGAAAGAAACGTCGTTCCGGGAAGATAACAAAACCGCTCCCGTGATTCTGGCCGCGCCGCCGCCACGCCCACCATGCGCCCGTGCCCGCCCGCAGCAAGCCGCACCGCCGCCGCCCGCGCCCGCCACAGATGCGACACCAAAGCCGCTCGCTCCCATGCATCCCCGGATGCGACACCAAAGCCGCCGCGCCGCTGGCCCTGCTCCCCGCGACCATGGTGGCGGCGCCCTTCCCCATCCCCTCCCGACGGCGGCCACTGCACCCTTCCCCATCCCGACGGCCTTGCGTGCGTGGGTGTCGGTGACGGGCAGCCACCCTCGGGCTCTGGATCCGTGTAGGGCGGACACGGCGGTGGTGGATTCCCTCGGCTACGTCCGCGTCGTCACCGCTTAATTAATTGTCCCGTGAGGCCCTCGTCACGCTCGTCGTCTCGCTGCCGCGTCACGCTTCGCCGTCGTCTCGCTGCGCCTTAGCACAGCAGTAGCCGGTGTGCCAGATCCGGTCCCGCGTCGCGTGAGCCGACCGGAAGCCCATTCACCGTCGCACCGGAGCTCGGATCCGGCGAATCGAGCGGCCCGGCCAGGCGCGCGCATTCAGTCGCTGAGTCGCTGGGGCCTCGCTGTGCCGTCGCCTCGCCGTCGTCACCGGCCGCTCGAGCTTCCCGCGCCGGCCCGCGCTTCCGCCCCCCAGCGGTTCCCTGAGTCGCTACCTGCTCGCGTTTCCCCGAGCCAGCGGTCAAAGGTCGCAGCAGTCGATTCACCGCCCTCACCGGAGCTCGTCCACGACGCCGGTGAAGCCCTCCGACGGCCTCCCTGACCCTTCACCGCGGACGCCCCTGCCCTGCACCGTCCTGACCTGCTACACCTAGAGCTGGTTTGCGGCTCAGACAACCTGCCATCTCTCAGTCTCAGGTACACACCGGCGACAATGCTTTATCCTACATGGTACAAACAATAGAAAAGATGTAATTTCACCTTTTTGCAGTTTGAGCTAGCTGGATTACAATCTCAAATCTTTTTTTTGGCTGCATTAAACTGTTTATTGATTTGCATTTTGCTGCACAAACCTGCGAAGCCTCCCAATCCAGCAGCTTAGAAGGTTGACATTGATTTGTTTTTCATTGCCTGATCTGATGAGTAGGCACTAGCAAAAGAGGACGAAAAAATTGGAACGTTCAGTGTTATTTGTGTCATACTTTATTCACATTCATATAAAAACGGTTAACTAATATCAACCTCAAATCGTTATATTTTTCATTCTCCTCTTATTGCCTCAGCAGGTGTAGTTCTTGAAATTTACACAAGACCTGTAATGTTAGCTTTTTGTTTCAACGTTGGGTGAATTCTGGTTTTCTTTCTTGTGCCTCATTTCTCATTTCTTATGTTCTGTTCAGACATAACATAGGGTGTGTTTGGTTGAGCTGTGATTGTGGGAAAAAACTGTTGTGGGTTGTGAGCTATGGAAAGCTACTGTGGGCTGTGAGCTGTAGAAAAGTTGAAAACTGTTTGGTTAAATAAGTATAAAATATATCTTTTATCTTTATCTCTCTTGAAAGAACTATGGAAGAGCTTTTTATTCCACCAATTTCGAAAAGCATAAAACCAAAAGTCAAAAGCAGGATCAAACCAGCTTTCAAAAATGTATTACGAAAAAGCAGCTGTTTCTGAAAAAACAGCCTCCAAAAGCAGCCCCTTTGGTTGGGCTTTTGGCTTTTGGGGCCAAAAGCCAAAGCCAAAAGCCCAACCAAACGGACCCATAATTCTCCATTGTTGCTATGCACCATTGAGGAAATATTTATTTATTTTTCAATGGAAAGGCAGGAGCTTTTCCATTCAGTTAAAATGGGTGTGTTGACTACTTGGCAAGTGAAATGCACGATTGTCACACGAACATAGCAGTCATCATTGCTTGGTTGCTAACAGGGGCAGCTAAAACAATATTTCAGTGCTTATATCGGCTAATAGTACATAGAGCTTCATATCAAGAAGACATAATTTGAAATATCCTTTCTAAACTGGCAGCCATGGTCTTGGATACGACAGC